ACGAATGAACATGTTGAAAAGCTGCATGACAGGAGGATGAAACTTGGGAAACACAAGATGGTGGCAAACGTCTTGCTGGGTTTCTTTTCCTTGGCCATTAAGAAAGGCAAGAATGACCGAATCATCTAAAAACACATGCTCTGACATGAGACTGGATGGCATCTTTGGAATGTCGCGTCTTCTCTTCATAGTCTATGATTCTAATCTGGCCACAATATCTGAACATCTGCGTAGCTGGCTTAGAAGTTGCAAGAATTCTTAAATTTGATTTTGGTCTAGGCAAGATGCTGACGAACCACAGGTACCTAGGTGCTCACTTTGCTCTTCCAGTGCACATTGCCTAGCAAACCTATCGCTTCCTTTGCTAAGACAGAGCAGACATGAGAAGCAAAACCTAAAGCCATGAAGGAACATGTGCAGCCAGGCAAACACCTTTTAGGAGCAACTCCCGTTCCTGCATAAAGAAGGTATCATTGAAACTGTTAAACATGTTGTTCTCCCCAATTTGCAAGTACAAAGGTCATCATCTTTGCTAAGATGTTCAGTGTGTTCTTTCAAAGAAACCCAAGACTCAAAAACACAGTTGTGTAAAGAATTCAAGCAAAGTCTGCTTGGACATTTCTGTCGCTGGCAAGTAGGTATTTTGAATTTTGCCGGTTCTTCTGAATAAAGAGATGCCTACGGTCAACAATCATGTCTATATGTTTATGATGACCGTCAAGAAGAAAAAGCAAGACTTACTTTGCTTCGCCGTTTCGCCTCCCTGAAGTCCAAAGCGATCTACTAGTCCAGCCAGAATCATATAAGTCTGTGCATATGTATTATGTTATATTATACTATATTACATTACATTACATTACATTATATTATGTTATAGTATAGCATAGTTTAGTATAGTATAGTATAGTCATATCATATAATATCATATCATATCATATCACATTATGTTAAATTATATTATAGTATATTATATCATGTCATATCAAAGCATGGCATATTATATTAATTGTATCAAAATTATATTATATTATATTATAACTATAACTATATTATGTTATGATATATTATAAATATACTATATTATATTATAATTATATTATATTATATTATATTGTATTGTATATATTGTATTGTATTGTATTGTGATGTATTTATTATATTATATTATTTTATATTATATTACATTACATTACATTAGATGAGATTAGATTAGATTATATATACATGCGTGTGTATATATATATATACATATGTATAATCTATGTAGATATACATGGTCCCGCCCGGCGCCCGGCAACCCCCCCGATGCTATCCCTCCCCCAGCAACCACCCCCATGAGGGTGGCCTAGCCATCTACGACCACCCGTCAAGATCTCATATGCTATACTGCTATACTTACATGCTGGCCTCGTGTCACCGATACACTACATAACAGGAGACCACAAGATACCTCCATGCACTGTTCACTACTACCTATATGCCCATACAATCTATTTACAACGTATTACTGCCCATGAAGTACCTTTGTAGTAGCCATTTATTAGCTACTATCAAGATCTCATGTGCTATACATACATGATGGCCACGTACTACCTATACATTATCTACATGATACCTCTACAACACCCCATTTACAACGTAGTACTACCAATAAAGTACCTTTATAGTAGCCATATACTAGCTACTGTCAAGATCTCATACGCTACGTGCAAGCCATGTGCTACCTATATACTATCTACATGGTATCTCTATAACACCTACCCATCCCATAGGGGCGTGGAGCATTGTAGCCACATACTACCTATATGCTTTTTGCCTTACATGCTAGTGACACACTACTAGCCCCCACCCACTCCACAGTGGGGGGCGGGGGTAAAGTAGACCCTGCATCGATCCTTTATATGCTAGCGACAAGTCAACTATATCCGACACGTCAACTATATCCGGACACCAAGCCTCCTACATACAGCGTACCTACAGGAACATGACCATGAGGGGGCAGGGGGTTGCTGGCTGGACCATATGGTGTGTATATGTGTATATACGTATGTATATATATATATAACATTTATACATACGTGTATACATATATATACGTATATATATTCAATATACTTATGTATATATATATATATTCATTCGTATATAAGTATGTATACATATACATATACATACACACATATATATATATATATATCTGTGTGTGTACCAGACTTGAACTCTGATCCCAATGTGGGCAAAACAGGATTTGCCGGCCTGGTCTGACACTGTTCCAGGGGCAGTTGATGATGTATCCTGCAACAGCAGGAAAGCATGCAAAAGCAATCTCTAAGAACGGCCCTGGTTCTGTCATTTCCAATCTGCCGCAGTGGGGAAGATTGTGCGCTGCGGCCAAACAGACTGCATCCGTCTTGAGCTGAAAAGCCTGTGACCTCACTCAATGCGTACCTTCTACCCTCACAACCTGACCTAAAATGTTTGGTACCACCGTCTTGCACCTCGCGCGCGGGGACCTGCTCCTCCTCAGTCTCTCTTGGCTCTGCATGCATCCTAAGGCATAAATGGACAGGTCCTCACCCTCATGATATTGTGCATGTGAAAAAGCGTTTGGGCATAGGTGGCATGATTTGACCCCAGCTTTAGCATTGCAGCATGCACTGATGTGTCCAGTATGCACGACCTTTGTGTATGGGTGCAACAGCAGCAGCAGCAGCAGCAGCAGGAGCAGCAGCAGCAGCAGGAGCAGCAGCAGCAGCAGCACCAGCAGCACCAGCAGCAGACACGACAACAACTTCTTATTGGTACAAGCCTGCCTCACCACCACTTGAGAGTCTGACAGGCTGCTGCAAGTCAGACGAAAGCATGACACGCCATCATGTCTGTCAATACGCAAATTCTCCCCACATCTCTCGTTGTGAATCATCGGCACACAACTTGCCAGGCTTGGATCTGTTCAAGACTCAATGTTAGACGTCAAGTTGACTGAGCCACAATTAGTCTTGTGGACTGAACAATAGCGCGCAGTCATCTCTGATTTTGTGCTACATCGTGCGGAGAGCAATGAATTCTGTGGAGCACAAAGATCATAAACATTGAAGTGGGCTCCTGGAAATATACTTAGATTTGAACTGCCAGTATTTGGTCACTGACAAACCCAAGGCCTTCACTGTCCGATTAATGGAGGAATAGAACGAATCAGCCAGGATGCATTTGAAATCTTTCGGATAGGGCGAAGAAACAGGGATGACATGACCAACAAGCCGTCCTGTGATAATTCATTCAGCTGCACAAGCTGCATGTTCTCCCTTTAGCATCAATTGAGCTGTTTCTCTGGTGTTTCTGCCTTTAGACAAGTCTCTGCAAGGTCTGCCGGGCAGCATTCATCTCTCGCTGGGCCTCCCTCATGTAGCCTGAGATTTCAGCATGAATCCTGACACCAAAACAAAACCCAGGCATGTGACTCTACAAAAACTTGCTTGCTTGGAGTCACGCGAAGCAAATCGTGATCCAAAGGTAATAATAGTGCAGTCTACTCTTTGCATTTTCACATGGTTCACTATGTTGACTTGACATTCTATCAGGGTTTTGGACCAAGACCCAAATAGTACCTATAGAAAGGCCGAGATATGCCGAGATGCTTTCGGTCATCTCCTCGGTTTGGGGCTGACACTGAAACGTTGAGCTGACAGAATACGTCCAGGATTCTGTCCCTTTTAGACTATCGCTCCAAAGACAAAGATGAAACAAAGATATGAAGTCGGCTCATCTTCTTAGCTCAACTTTCTTTGGAAGGAACTTGGATAAGAAGAAACTCGTATGCCAAGTTGCTGTGATGGGCGCAAATGCCAGGCGTCCGTGTGTGGCCAGCCAGCGTTCTGGTGGGCTCGAAGTGAGGTCACCTTCTGACATATAAAGTCGATTTGAACTTTGAGGACCTTTGAGGTGCATCTTGTGAATTTTGCGCAAGACAGATTCATCCTTTCCCATGATTCGCAGTGGACGGGTTGCTTGAACTGCTCACTTAATGGCTTAGTGGCTTTGCAACCAAGCATCCAATGTTGGCTCTGCACAATCCCCAGTCACCTGAAATCACAGGGGGCTACTCAGCTCTCTGTGTGCGGGAACAATCATCAAAGTGTACACAACTGGACATCTATTGGAAAGGAGCAGCCTGCCACAGGGCCAATTATTGAAGCAAGTTGCCCTTGGCAATTTCGCCCAATAACTGCGCACGCGACCAACGCCTCGCTACTAGGTGAAAGTCAACAATGACGTCAATTTTTTGCGCTTGACAGTGCTGCTGGTCTGCTGTCGGAGGAGAACCCATTCATGTCAATTCATTCCAACCCCAAAACATCCCAATGAATCGTTTTTCTTGGCTTTCCCACGCATCTCCCCACACCGCGAAAATTCGACCGCTGGAGCCCTCAAGGCCCTCGAGATTGGTAGGCCGCAGCTGCTTGCCCTGGCAGGCACAAGAACAAAACAAAGCGAAAGAAAGTGAAACTGGGCTGTTGAAGTTTGTCTAAGTGGACACTGAGAGTTGCTCGCCACCTGCAGAATTTTATGATTGGAGCTGCACCAAATGTTCCGTCATATCGGGAAGGCAAGGTACTGCGAACCAGTTTTACGATTGGTTCGCAACACTTGTAACTTATAACTCTCAATATATATATATATGTGTATATATATATATATTATATATATATATATGGGATCGGTCGATGTCTGCGCGGGCTTTTTTGGCCTCGCACAGCCGTCAATCAACTTTGACTCGGAATATCTTTAAGAAAAAATGCACATCCCAACAGAACCAGTTTGGGATGCAATCCCTTTAAATGTAGTGATTCCGGCTTGCGAAGCCCGAAACGACGAATTTTGACCTCCCTCTGTGAAACCAGAACAACACACTTGATCACACAGCCATGCCACAACTTCCGCATTGTCACATCACAATTCACAATTTGGGATTCACCAAAAGCTGTCTGACCCAACTGAGGTCATCGGGACTTCAAATCTAGGCCGTCATAAGCCGGCGAATCCAAAGATTGGCCCATGGAATGTAAACCTCAATGAACGGCTGAAAACTCAGGTTGCTTTGAAGTGGATGAAGTGGATGAAATTGAGAAGGAAACTGGCTCAAACTGGATCTTGCATGATCCGTGCGTGCTGGTAAGATGGAAAGAGTTAGGTTGGAACTGCATGTATCCTGGGTCTAAGATGGTCACCCATGTCGACATACATTGTCATTCCTGATGTGAGGAAGTGAGACCGCAAAATTTAAGAATGATGCATCATTGGCTGCATCATTGCAATAACACCTCCGTGTGCCTGTGCGATTACCAAGTTCGTCTGCATTTCACTCCATGATTTCAAATCCTTCCTTCAATACAAAACAGAGATTATGATATGCAAATGATAATGCATTGAGAGTAATGGTACTAAATCATGCGGTCTTTGCGAACTCTGTGCTGGCCATCTACAGTACATGCAAATCACAAAACCGGAGCCTGTGACACCAGAGGTGAGGTCGGTGAGCAAGCAAAGGGCTGTTTTTCCTACGTCTTCAGCCTGCGAAAGGGGACAGGTCGGGTCCGGTCTGAAGGATAAAACACCCGTTCACTCCATGAATAAAAGCTCAAGAGCAGTTTCCTATTTCCAGAACAGGACATGATTCACTGCCTATCTAGACAAGAGTCACCAGCATTCAATTGTCATAGCAGTGATCGTGTGTAAACATTACACGAAGCAGCAAATCAATGTGGAACTCATCAGGTGGCAAGCAACATAAAGCGGCTTGTCAAGCGGCGCATTATCCACCTCAGCCAAAATTAAGAGGCTCGTGTCAAAATCATGATGGCTTGATTTCTTCAAACATCTCAAGAGCAAAACTCGAAGTGTATAAGAACGGCTGCAAGCACGGCTAGTGCCAGCAAGCGACTGAGTAGTCCTTGCATTCACAGAAAGCAACAAAACGGGCAGTCCCCCCATAGCCATCAAGTTGGCTCTATTTGGGGTAGGTTCCATTGTGTGGAAAACAATTAGAAGGCACATGAAGGCAAGCGTCAAGCATGCACAACTTGCATACTGTAAGTTAGCTAAGTTTTGTTCAAGCATCAATCGCGCGCTCAATGAAGGTCTTTTCTCCATCACCGCCGATGGCAGATGCAGCTCGTGACTTCAAAGGCCCAGCTGAGATTGTGTTCACCCGAATGCCATACCTTAGCCATACCGCTTGAGGAACACAAGTCAGCAAGACATATGCATTGTACATCCGCCGCTTAGCGCAGTCAAAGATGTCTTCAAAAGATAAATCTCCAATGTGCCGGCAAAGGCACTTGCGGCCTGCCTTGGAGACGGGCCAGAACATGAACCGTGAAAAATGTATATACAGTAATCGCAACATATCGCAACATATCGCAACATATCGCAACATCACCCAAGGACCTCGTAGGCCAGTGTGCGAGTGTCTGACTCGAGCTGCGCCTTTCCACGTGCACAACAATTACTGTAGCGTCTGGGAGCTCAGCTTCCTGGAATACGTATACGGTATACGACGATGGTGTCCGAGATTATACGAAAATATGTAACACCCCGTAGCCATGCCATTAAAGACAAAAGGATGACAAAAGGCAACACGGCAATTTAGGCCTGAAGAATTCATTGCTCCAGGAAGGGAACTTGACTTTCATCAGGTTCAAACAACGAGGCATGAACATGATAAGCAGATCATTATTGATTCATGCTATTTGCGCCTCCACACAAAATCAATTCCACAGTTGTGGACTCAACAGTGTATTCTTGCCTGTTTTAACCTGTGGTGCACAGCTTTCTCCCTTGTTTACTTCCACAAGAAATCAAAGAGTAGAGAGCATCAGAGAGCATCAGAGAGCCACCCTTCACTTGTTTCATTCTTTACCTTCCCTCCTTTTTTGCCCAGTCGCTGTCCACATGTCTCTTGTGGACCCCACCCCATATCCTTGACCTGACACCAACCCTGAATATTGCGCGGACGGGATGTGAGCAAGATCAAGCGAGAGTCAACACCAGGAAGAGGCAAGGGATATCGTCCATCCCAATGCAAGGTTCCCCTCATATGAATCACTCTCTCAATCTCTAAGTACTCTATCTTCAGCTTGGAAAGATGCTCTCGCCTTAGCGCTACTCATGCCGCCACCATAGCCCGGAATGGTCCGTACCTCAGCTCATGGCAAAAATGCATTCAAAAAAATAAATTCCGCAAATTATTTTGGCAACTCAACCAACCCTGCTTTAAATGAACCCTTCAGCAAGAAGTTAATCATGGTGTGCTGATGCCAACCATCCGGCTCTGGTTTGTGCTGTCATGTCGGACACCTTGATGCAGAATGGCTGTGGTTATCGTAGAACCATTTCGTGCTCTGTGCATGGCAAGACTCTGCTGCGACATAAGACAGCGAAATGACCGCGCCACCCTTCGGCATGATTGGCCCAAATCCTCAGTTTAAGTTCGAATAGTTTCGAGGCTCAGGAAGACATTTCTAAGCCCACAAAGTCTCACTCACTTGGCCATGCATGGCAATATATATGCCCGTTTGGTGCATGTTTGCAACATTGAATGCGACGTCTCGGCATTGGCGTTTTGCCATGAAGCGCTGAACCATTGAGACCAGGGAATAAGCTGAGGCAGAGGAAGCAGCCAAATAGCCCTGCCGAGGAAAATCTCACAGGAGAAGGCAAGGAACTTCCAGCTTTCACAAGCATGTAATGAAAACTGACTGAGAGCGTGCAATCTTAATGCTTGAGGGCACATTATTATCCTACATCTGCTGCTATCTGGTTCCTTCCACCAAATTCGACCTTACACATATTTGTGTGTGTGGTTTGGGAAGTGTTCCCAAGGAATCAAAGAAACATGCGCCAGTAGTACTCTAGAATTTGCTAGTATGGAACCAAGCATGATTATTGTATGATTTGGAAAGGGACAAGACACACGATGAACCAGTCCCAGAGAGGACTAACATGTATGGAAAGACGGGCCGGACACTTAGAAAGGCTCATCACAAAACCGGATAGAGATAGGCCCAGACACGAATGTGAACTATACCGACTATACCGATACCATTAAACACATACTATATTATCAACCATGTATGTGTATCAAAAGTATATACATACACAAACACAAATAATGTATGAGTAAAATATACATACATAGATACAATACATTGCGATGCAAATACGATACAATGCAGTACACCCACACTGAAATAAATTACTAGACATGACATTAAACTACACCACCTACATTTCGTACATTACATACATTACTCACAGAGTCACTAACCACTCGACAACCCCCCTCCCAACACTCCAGTACTCGGACCACACCCATCGAGCACTACTGAGTTGAAACTGAACGAGTGCTACTGAGCTATTAATCTGGATTTAAGTTGCGCATGCATTTGAATACCCGCAATTGAATTCCACCAAATTTGGATTGAGCGGACCCAAAGTATTACAGTAACTTCCACGATTTATATACTTTGCATGACTTGCTTTCTTGGGTGCAATGAAATTGGCATGGAAGGAGTCGAACAATTATATAATCTTTCTCATTCCACCCAGTCAGCATTACTTTATCAATAACTAGCGGGCTCTCTATCTCTGATTTCTCTCTCTCTGTCAAGCTACGTCTGCACCAAAATTCCACTCTCATGCAATTCACGCCTTCCGGCTAGTTTCAAGCAGAGGTTTGGTGACTTCAGGGCCATTTGCCAAGGAATGCACCAAAATATCCACCTCAACAGTCAATCTTGAACACAAAGTCAAGCTGCCAGATGCAGCCCGCTTTCATGGCAATTTGTGGAATATTTCGGCTGTTTCTCAACCAACAAAACCACATAAGTCACATCAGTCATGAAAACGCAATGTGAACCTTGCCGAAGTCCTTCTTGACGGCTTCCACACACTCTTCAATGGTGTAACCTTCGACACCTGCATAACCTTGGATCTGGACTTGGGAACAGTGCGACGCTATGCAACGCTGACTCAACAACTTTTTTGCACGGCTTCTCAGCAATTTTGATTTTGCAACATGACTCGCATCAGTTTCCACCATAAGCGTGTCACGCTTGTTGCTTTTGATATCGTCTGGAACATCTTCTGGCACATCAAACATTGCATCCAAGGGGTAGATCTTTGCTATCCTTGCTTCAAGCATCACAGTTGGGACTGCGTGCCCGTCTCACACGCACACATTTCAAAAGCTGTCTTGATATCATCTTTGCAACAACCACTGCCAGAGAGCCAATGTGGTGTGCATTGTGGATGGAACTCTGTACCTGCATAAGAATGCTTACCAGGTGTCTCCATAAGAGAGCCATCGTCCAGCGTCCTGGCCTTGCGACTCCATGAACAGAGTGGAATACTTGGAATACTTCTCCATGATGAGCATGAGAATTTCAGCAGTCATGGAGTGATGGGGTATACTGACGGGATACTGTATACTATGACGGTCTATTCATTCGGGGTCGGAAGGGTTCCAAACTCTGTTGTGAAGTGTATCAGGCTCTTATGGATCTTATGGGGATTTCCGATGGCTCCCCAGGAGATCCCAGTACCTTGATTTGAGTGGTGAAACAAAGGGCTGGAACACTGCAACATATCAAGCCTGGCCTCATCAGTTGCCTTCTTTTTCAGGGCCATGTTGAACCTTGAAAAAGTATGAAAAAGTGAATGAACACTGAGTCGTGTGAGTCGTTTGAGTCGTTTGAGTCGTTTGAGTCGTTTGAGTTTGAAATTCGCATGTCTTTGAGTGGCGGGCCTAGCTAGTTGAATGAGTTGAAGCTAGTCAAACACTTTGCCGTCCAGGAGCATTTTCAGCACGGGTGGCCAAGTTCCCACAACAATGGTCGCACCGGCATTGGCCAATTCCTGGTTGCTAGAAAAACATAGAGAAACAAGAAGGAGCTGCTTCCAAAACTCCACTTCCAATATCAACGAGGAGCCCGTGCAATCGCCCAGCCATATCCAGTGGTATCAGCAACACCTGCCAAATTCGAAGAGCAATCCCAATGGAACAAAAATGCGGGCTATGTATGCTGGAAGTCCTACCAAGCCTTGCGCACGGTATTCAGGGTTTCTACATGGGTACAGTAGCCATTTGGTGAATGCTGAAATTTTCTGCTCTCTCTCTCTCTCTCCCTCTCTCTCTCTCTCTCTCTATTTCTTTCTACCCACTTAAAGCTCACGCTGTCTGTAAGTTGCCTACCAGGCAGGACTTAGTTGAAAGAAACCGAGCACAAACGCTTCTATCCTCACACGCGTCCGTGCTCAAAGAACAAATTGGCTTGCCAGTGCTGGATGCATAGGGCGTATTGTGACATGAGTCCATCTGGAAATCTAACTTGCCTTGGCAATGCTGTCGCCTAATTTGTCTACACCGCAGAGTACTGCAAGCTACTGGGACAGGGCTGCACAGGGCTCGCAAAAGAACACAGTTTGTTGATAGTATCAACCTTATACTACTTGCCCTTCGTGTACAGTAGTGTCCAGGATGCGAATATTCTTGCCTGGTGCATTCCATAAATCAGCAATCGTTGCCTTTCTTCTCATACTCTCATGAACTGCCGCGAAAGAGGTACGGATCAAGCGCGAACTTGACCTTTTGTCAGCATCAATCGGATGAAACTGCATCTGAACGACGAGCAGAATGACTGTCAAATGCGCTGAAAGCAGAACATTTAGAAGGTGCCAAGGTTGCCCTTGCAAGCAAAATTTTGGGAGCTAGGCAAAGACTTTCGGAAGACATTGCTGTTCTAGTGGACTTAGTTGCCTTTTGCTCCTGTCCACACTACAAGTCTCAGATTGTGTGAGTATTTCCACTGTCTGTCTCTCTGTCTGTCAGGTGGGTACATATGTGAGCGACAAATTTTATTTGGTACATGCATGTACATGCTGTGGGAAGGAAAGAAGATTAAAGAAGTCCCCCTTACATCGTTTGTACATGTTGTCGTATTCGAAGAACAAATTCTCTGGTGCTGACCTTGTTTTCCAACGCTGTCACGCTGTCACGCTGTCACCCTTTAGATAGTGCATCAAGAATCCCTGCATCGTTTCTGGAATCCCCTGTAGGATCCTGAGCAAAACCTGCTTACTGCCCAATACTACATTCAACTGTCTTGAATAAATGCGGTTGCTTATATATGCATATATACATAGGCATTAATGTTCAATAAAGTTTCTGCGCAAATCATGTGTCTCTACAGATTCTTGGATGAGTCAACCATTAGATGGGATAAGACTGGGGGGGACACCATAGATTGCTAGCTGGAATCGGTACCTTTGAATCCATAGACATTCTTTGACTAGGTGAACTGTTTGGACAAGTGTAGATCAAAGGGATTAGGTTCATCAGCCAATCAAGCAAATGATCGTTCAACTTCCAAAGATTTGCATTGCAAGTAGATTCAAGAGGACTGTCAAACAGCCACCAATGGACAAACTGTGGTGTCCTACTTTTGGCGGAGAGTTCCCATGACGGACTCATTATATATCTCTCTCGGTTGGATGTCTTCGCCGCCGGAACATGAAATGGTGACTCCGACAACCCGCCTGCAATGAAAGCTACCTTGCCAGTTAAATCCACCGTGAGTGCCTGCAAAAAGTTCCACACGCACTCACAGTTCAATTTCGTAAGAACAGTTAAAGAGATCGACCAGCAACAGCTATGTTTCACACCATTCAAATCCAGCAGTTCATTCAACGTTTCATGGGAATCCAATTTTTGGCAGCCTGTACCGCATCTTCTGATTAGATATGTTTGAGTTCGATTGTGAAAACCGCCACCGACCGCGTGCGCTAATCTTTGTGCTGCTTAGCATCCAAGGTTTCCTCAACATTCGCTGTAAATGCCCACTTGTTTGGTTGTTTCTTGAATTCTGGACTAGCAGGCGTGATATTTTTTTTTTCCATTCCTCATTTATCTAAATTGGTTCTACAGCACAAGCCCCAACTTTGGTGGTTGATCAATTGATTTGCATTGATGCCAAATCATCTATACCAGTAGTACCGCACAAGGCGGTGGCGGAAGTTTCAAAAATAGGAAACCTATAGGAAAGGTTTGTTGTTGTGAATCACGGATGGCAGAGCGAAGCCACTGATGGATCGAAAGGTGATTGATGTCTCCTCTCTTTCTCTCTCTTTCTCTGACTATCAACCTACCTACCTATCTATCTACCTATGTATCTATCGATCTATCTATCTACCTATCTTTCTATCTATCTATCTATCTTTCTTTCTTTCTTTCTATCCATCTATCTATCTATCTATATCTCTCTCTCTCTTTCATCTGTCTCTCTGTCTAGCTGTCTACCTGTCTATCTGTCTATCTATCTATCTATCTATCTGTCTGTCTGTCTATCTGTCTACCTGTCTATCTGTGGCGCAGTGTCATTCAGTGTAATGTAGTGTAGTGTAGTGGAGTGTAGTGGAATGTAGAGTGGTGTAGTGTAGTGTAATGTAGTGCTGTAGTGTAGTGTAGTGTAATTTAGTGTAGCGGAGTGTAGTGGAGTGTAGTGGAGTGTAGTTGTAGTTGTAGTTGTAGTTGTAGTTGTAGTGTAGTTGAGTGTAGTGTAATGTAATGAAGTGGGAGGTAGTGTAGTGTAATGTAGTGTAGTGTAGTGTAGTGTAATGTAGTGTAGTGTAATTTAGCGTAGTGTAGTGTAGTTTAGCGTAGTGTAGTGTAATTTACCGTAGTGGAGTGTAGTAGTGTAGTTGTAGTTGTAGTTGTAGTTGTAGTGTTGTGGAGTGTAGTGTAGTGTAACGTAGTGAAGTGTAGTGGAAGGTAGTGCAGTGTAGTGTAATGTAGTGTAGTGTAGTGGAGTGTAGTGTAGCGTAATGTAGTGTAGTGGAAGGTAGTGTAGTGTAATGTAGTGTAGCGTAGTGTAGTTTAGTGTAGTGTAGTGTAGTTTAGTGTAGTGGAGTGTAGTTTATTGTAGTGGGGTGTAGTGGAGTGTAGTTGTAGTTGTAGTTGTAGTGTTGTGGAGTGTAGTGTAATGTAGTGAAGTGTAGTGGAAGGTAGTGTAGTGTAGTGTAATGTAGTGTAGTGTAGTGGAGTGGAGTGTAGTGTAATGTAGTGGAGTGTAGTGTAGTGTAATGTAGTGTAGTGTAGTGTAATTTAGTGTAGTGGAGTGTGGTGGAGTGTGGTGTAATTTAGTGTAGTGGAGTGTAGTGGAGTGTAGTGGAGTGTAGTTGTAGTTGTAGTTGTAGTGTTGTGGGGTGTAGTGTGGTGTAATGTAGTGGAAGGTAGTGTAGTGTAATGTAGTGTAGTGTAGTGTAATGTAGTGTAGTGTAGTGTAATTTAGCGTAGTGTAGTGTAATTTAGCGTAGTGTAGTGTAATTTACCGTAGTGGAGTGTAGTGGAGTGTAGTGGGGTGTAGTGGAGTGTAGTTGTAGTTGTAGTTGTAGTTGTAGTGTTGTGGAGTGGAGTGTAGTGTAGTAGAATGTAGTGAAGGTGTAGTTGTGGTTGTAGTTGTAGTGTAGTGTAATGTATTGGAGTGTAGTGTGGTGTAGTGGTGGTTGTAGTTGAAAATGCTACAAAACCATCACGCTTTGCTCACTTTTGACAAGGTGCACAATCCCTCGCGCCTGCCACGCGAAGCGACATCTGAACCTCCAAAAGTGGTCCGAACCCCTGGTGTTTTTAACATTTTGACTTCGAAATGTGCTTCGCGCCACAACGCCGTGCACTTTTTCGACATCTCAACTTCCAAAAGTGCTCCGACACTGAGGTGTTTTATACGTTTTTGACTTCGAAATGTGCTTCGCGCCACAACGGCGTGCACTTTTTCGACATCTCAACTGCCAAAAGTGGTCCGGACGCTGGTGTGTTTTGTACATTTTGACTTCGAAATGTGCTTCGCGCCACAACGGCGTGCAATTTTCATCTCTCATCTGGCCAGCTGGCTCCGCACCCGCCGCTTTAGCGAGCCTACTTTTCGACCCTCCGGAGCCCCAAATCATTGGAAAAACACAGTGTTTCGCGACTTTCCTACCTTTTCGCGCATCTGCATCTTCTTTCTTCTGACTCTTTCTCTTCTACTCTTCTCTCTTCTAATCGTTCTCTTCTCTCTGCCTCTGCCCTACTCTGCTTTTCATCTGTCCATATTGTCGGAAGTTTGACTTCAAAAACTTCCTTCGACAATACTTTATAATCTAATGTTTATAAAAACACGCAAAGCCCTCAATGCCTTGCATCTGAGTTCTCATTATGAAGCAGCATTTCAGGTTGCTTTCAAGAGTGCGAATGGGCAAAAGGACTGGGTCAAGGCAAGTTGTTTTCCCAGGTATTTTCCCACCGCATGTTTTTTCTCGAGGCCGTTTTTCACATGCGATGTTTGCTTCTTGGTTTGGTTCATAGGCCTTACGCTCTATACCTATTGTATGTGCGCATGTCAAACAACTGTATTGCTGCAGTAAAGTCTTCATCATCTTAGTATATCTTAGTCATCTTCTATCTTTTTCATTTTTTTCATTATTTTTCTATCTCAGCAGTTTGCTGTACATTTGCCAAACATCTGATTGTTCCAGCGTCGGTTTCTCGACTTAGCCGACTTGGCAGCAACTCGCATCAACTCGCCCCCTAGCAGCCCTTGTTGAAGCACTTGTTGCGGCACTTGCAGCACGTGACTACTTGACGCCTTGACGCTCCCGCACCTGGCGTGCGATGTGGCTTTTTCGGACTGGGCCTTGCTGCCACCCCCACGCACCACTTGCAGCTGGAGCACCCTGCCATGGCTTCGCAGTCTGGAGATGTCTGGAGATGTCTCTCCCTACTTGCTGCGAGAGATAGTCCCAACATGTCCCAACAGTGGACAAGAGTCACAAGAGAAAGTCGCTGCTTTTCCGCTTTCTACTCTGGCGCCTGAGAGCCTTCCAAATCCCATGATGTCAATGATGTGGGATTTTTGACATCATGTTCAATGCTTTTGGGGACGTCCTTTCTTTAGCCTGTCCTGTCGAAAGGTTGGTACCACAAAGTTCAGGGCCTTGGCGTGGGATCTTTCAAAAAAGCACCATTGGCAGCAATTCATCCAGATTCATCCCGAATCTCACAATGATAATCAAATCCTGAGATGATGACCGTCCAAATTGCGCAGCAGCAGGCCAATCCTGGCACTAATTCTTGTCATCTTGTCCTCTACCCTGAAACCAACCATACCAGATTGCCAAAATCCTTTCCTCAGGCGTGATTTTCTAGGTCAAGAATCAACTCTTCTCGAGGATCCAGAATCAGTAGGGTAGTTGTTGCTCCAATGATGTCTCGATACCTCCAAGAAGTCTTCTAGAACGGCTCAGGCGGAACCCAGAGTCGCTTTTTCTCACCAGGTTTCCTGCCAAGTGCACCAGCAGGCCCTCTCGTTGCGGTCGACGTGCCATTTCGCCTGCTCAAGTTGTAGAATGCAGATTCAAAGTAGATCAAATGTAGCAGATTGTAACAGGTGCGTTTTTCATCAACCGGTCTTGTGTCTTCTCCAAACACCAGATATCCCGGCCTCTGCAAGCCCGGCACGTTTTCAGGAGGCAGTCAGCTTGAGCCAGAAGTATTCCGACAGAAACAGTCCTTCGACTAAGGCTAGCACTGCTATTCGAGTGACTTTGTTTGACCTTTTCAGAACCGGCAAATTGAGATGTCCATTGATGTCCATTCGGTCCATTCTACATTCCAGGCCACCCCCTTGGCCTCTCCATTGCGCAAGCGCACCAACCAGCCTAATGCTGAGCAAAAATGTTCAGCAACTATGAAATTCTCTGACAAATTACATCAATGTACAGATATGTACAGTAGATCTCAGCCACTGAGTTTCCAACCTTTTAACCTGTTAAGAACATTAAAGAACTCCCTCCCCAACCAGTTTCAGTTCCCACGATCCGGCATTTTGTCCAAGTTTCGGCCAGACTCCACATTGAAGCGCAAGGCAATGCCAATTTCGCCATTCAGGTGGGCAGCTCCCTGGTCTGCTCACCATTTTGAGGCTGTCGGTTTAAAGACTTGAAATCACTGGCCATTTATTGACTAAGTGAACTCAAAACGTGAAATACGTGAAACTCGCAAGTGCATGCTTTCCACAGCTTCCCCATTTCGATCTCTCTGAATCGCTGTGATACTGTCTCCTTCTCGATATGTTTACAGCATCCAGCAATAGCTCCATCGCGCAAATCTCTCTTGTGGAAGCCCACTAAATATTTCAGTCTTTCACGTACTGTTCTGCTGCTTTTCTATATCTTCTGCTTTGCTGAAGCTTTGCCCTAACCTTTACCGCACCTGTAGGTCTTTGAGCCGCACCGTCTGGCCACCATGGATCTCTCCTTCCGCATCTGAACGCTTTGCCGCCCTGCTGAAGGCCTGCAATACTGATTCGCTGAAATTGAAAAAATGCAATGAGTTTGGAAGATTTTGGAAAATGTTGCAAGATTTTGGAAGACGCATTTGGGTCACAGTTTACGCTGGACAAGAGAGGAGAGTGAGGACAGGAGAAACTCCTCAGGAGTGCAAGACACAAATCCTTAGCCGAAGGTCTTGTACGAGAGTTGGAACTACAAAAAAAAGACCTTGGTCAAAGCCCCTGATCACGAGAGTTTGATCCCCATTCAAGCGGACTATTTATTGAGCTGTAGTGAATCTGCAAATCGCACAATCTGCGGCCCTTGACCGCACCCTTAAAAGTGTGCATAGTCGGCATAGTCCGAACCCTCACATGTGTTGAAGCATGCTCTTAGCCACAGAAGAGATATTATCCGAAGCTTGATGGTACGCGCATCATCTGAAAGTTTAATTGATTTGTGCCAAGATTCCAATTCAAGGGCTTGCTTGAGATCCTTCAGTACCTGAAATCCATTGCGAATGTGAACTGCACGTGCGTTGGATTACCCCTACCGACAAAAGGCTGTTGCTTTCCATTTTAAGGAGGTCAACCCATGGATCCACAATAGGATCACATCGGTTCGAAATATAGAGGGATGGATCAATGGATGGAGGATGGATGGATGGATGGATGGATGGGTGGATGGATGGATGGATGGATAGGTAGGTAGACAGACAAACAGACAGACAGACATACGTACATGCGTAAATGCGTGCGTGTACGTGTAAGTGTAAGTGTACGTGTGCGTGTGCGTGTGCGTGTACGTGTACGTGTACGTACGTACGTACGATTATCCCAATATGTATGTGTATAAGTACTATGTATAAGTACAAGTATAAGTGCAAGTTTAGTATAAGCATTACAGTATAAGTGTAAGTATAAGTGTAAGTATAACTGTAAGTACAAGTGTAAGTGCAGTATGAGTGTCAAGTATAAGTATAAGTACAAGTGGAAGTATCAGTATAAGTATAAGTACATGTTTATCGTCATGTGTACATGTATATGTACAATTATTTTGTGTAGATCTATGTATCATATGTTAGGTTGAGATATCTTGTTGCAGTGACTGGCAAAGCTGAGACTGCAGACCAAGCCATTGATTGAAAAGTTAGTTGCACCAATGCTGGCATGCTGCTGTCCATCCACATCCTCCACCACCAAGCACAATGCAGCACATCCTGGGCTGTCCAAGACATGTCTTTTGAACCCTTGACATATTTTGACCGCACCGATAGATGTTTTGCGAAAAAAAAATGTCAGAATGTGGAAAGAAAGTCTTGTCATGTCTCCAATCAAGGCGAGAAGCAACTCGTCATGCTGGCATGGTCCGCCTATGAAGTGAGTGATTTCCACCTCACCGGCTGCTGAGATCTAGTAATGTCAAGGCGAACGCAAAATTGTTCGTCGCATTGTCACAAATAGCATTCCTGAGGCTCATACTGAGCTTGCTTTTCGGTATTTCTTGCAAACCTGACACAACGTGTCTGAATTCCCAACAGTGTCTCCCAGTTGTACCAAAACAACAACCAGTTGGAAAGGCTTCCAGAATGTGGCGAGACTCTGAAGCCTCTGTCAAGCTGAAAACTTGGGCAAGAAAACAGCAAAAATATGTCATGCATAGGAGGCTGATTTAGCGACCATCCCCATAATCTTCAGCAGCAACATGCTGCAACCCAAAAACTTAAAACATGCCCAGGCTGCATCCCGAATCGCGTTTTCAACCATCCCGCGATCAGGGGGAACATCGAGGGGTCTTGTCAAGTTTACCTGAGCTGACAAAGTATGTTACCATCGACTTGGTGACTTAGTGGAAATTCTGCTGCAGTGACTGATCCACAATCACAAGTGCAAAGTTCATTCCAAGTACAACAATCCTAAATCCTAAATAAGAACCATCGGCCTTTGAAGATTCTGGCAATCTTTGGGCAAAGAAAGAGCTGCAATCAATCGATGTCGCTTCAGGTTTGGGTGCCTTTGCTATCAAGAACTGCCTTCAGTCGTTCAGCTTACCAAGATAAGATCATGATCAGTTTCAAGTAAAAAGCTCCGAATGCAAGACCTGCAAGCAACGTACATCTTGCAAATCTGTGAGGAGAAACTAACTTGCATTCAGCCTTCTTTTGATGAAACTTCCCTTGCAAATCTTCGATCCAGACTAAAATGACTAAACCATTTTGCCCGCAGCATCGTGTTGCAGTGTCGAGTTGCCGCCACCACATGGTCATTGCCACCTGCCCGTAAAGCCCGTGAAGCCCGTGAAGCCCGTGAAGCCCGTGAAGCCGTCCAAGTGGACCCCGTTTTGTCTTTACCAAGTGAACTCCATTGAAGTCGGACACACTTCGATTTTTTCAGCTGAGGCACAATTCTCGGGCTCATCTGATTCCAGCACAAGGGTGCATGGGGCGCTTAATTCCTGAGTTGCAACAAAAAGGAGTCTACCACCCTGCATCAATTTGACTTCTGCTGTGAATCCAGGGTGGTGAGGACAATTCACTGAGGAGAATCAAAATGAACGCTGATTGCAATGTAATTCCAACGCCTTCACTCTCTCACTGGGTATATTGAAAGTTTTTGTGATATTTTGTGATGTGTATTTGCAGATTCTTCGGGCAAAGTTGGACATTTCTGACTAATGAAGATTGGCTTCTGCAAAGGCTTGAGCAAGTGCATCATCCTGCACGCCTTCAATCAAGGAAGGGCTTCAGTTTGTAAAAGGTGAAAGCATAGGGATAAAAGAATGATAAAAGCAGGACTTTAAAAAGCCATTTGAATTGAAAACGGAGACGCTATGAGACGCTCCATAACTGATATAACTGCTCCATCACATTTTTCGTCTCAGTCTGTGGAGTCTCTGGCCTTCCAGCTCCTCTTTGGCCGCCACACGCCATCGGCGGCCTTGCAGAGTGAGACTCAGGCCTTCCATTTTGGCACGGACCTCAGCATCTTTTGATTCACCCTTTGCCTTTCCATATCCTTTCCATTTTCCTGCTGACACTGCTGAGCTGTTTATGTGGTCTCTTTAAAAGTCTTTAAAGGCATGTATTTTCTCTGTGTACATTGGAAGCTCTTTGCTTCTGTCACATAAGTATACTCTGGCTTTGCAGGATTGGGAAAAGGCAGGTCGGAGGGCCGCTAAAGCGCTTTCTGGTCGAAAAGACTAGGACCCCGATTCTGAGCTCGAAACTCTTTGGAGCATGCCCTCTGAATCAACTTGAATAGTCAGCTTTCCTTCATCTGCCTCAACCTGACACAGAGGTGCGGCTCTGTGCAATGGTGCAATGGAAAGAGAAGGACCTGCCCAAGGCAGAGTCCACAATGTGAACAGGTTTTAACAATGTGAAACTGCAAAGCACAAACTTTCTGACAGGTTCGCATGGCGTGGCTGGCACAACATGTTTTTCTTCTTTCCAGTGGTCTCTACATATCACAAACATTCACAAACAGTTTTCTCAGCGTTGTAGGCTTTGCAGTCTGCGACACGAAAACCGGATCCGTACTACGGTGCATCCAAACCCATACTGAGCACCTCAGTAATCAGAAAAACCCCGCGAATCCAATGGTCATAGCTGCTGCTGTGCCTTCCAGAAGCATTGGGCAGGTTGAGTTGTGGGCGGGCCAGCCATGACCGCTTAAATCCATGTGAATCCTCACAGTCCTTAAACTTGACATCTTCAAGACATTTCAAGACTGCAGACTGCATCTGCTTATTGGCTTTGCATGCCGTTGCCTCATAAGTCGCGGCATGGTAGCAAGGCTTCGTTCAAGCTCTGCAGAAAAGGCTTCATGTGAAGCGATAACACACCTGCTGAAAAAAATCTTCCCAAAGGTTGCATGATGCATCACAAAATGATGAAAATCACAGCACGCCAAACGGAGGGGGTACACAGAAGAAAGCTCATGCTGGAAGTTCAGAGCTAAGTGTTCCATTTTTTGTGTATTCTGATCTCTGAGGGCCCACCCAACATCGATCAGGGCAGCTATCCTTGGTCCAAGCCCCATTCTTGGCCAGAGGCTCGGCGGTTCTGAAGCTAGACGCGCTTTTAACATCTACAGTACATTGCTCTGAAAGCTCAAAGACTTCTATTCAGACCTTTGTGCTGACCGAAGTCTACCCCTTCCTTGGCTGAGTGTCTCAGGTCCAGTGAAAGACGCCATAAGTTCATGCCGCGTAGGAGGAGCACACGTGAACTCGGACTTGCACACGTTGCAGGTTTGGTGCCTGGCAGTTGTGCAGGGAAGAAAGCTACTTGCTTTCTTCACGGATCACAGCTACAATGTCAAAGAATCTAAGACAGAATGAAACATGGCAACAATACCAGTCATATTGGCCGATGCAATGTACTGTAACGTTCAGTCGCAGCTTTACCAGCTTTACATCGCATTTCCATGTGCCAAGTGGATGAACGAGTTCATCATTCCGATACTGGCATGGTTTGACTTGGGTTCAGCCTGAGGTCCCGGTCATAGAATGCTGGGTGCGTTGGCCTGAAGCACATTGGTCTGTTCAGTCAGGTGCAATGAGAAGACAGCGCATGAAGATCTTGAAAGCATTTGAAAACAGTGTGCATACAGGAAGAAATGAAGAGAATGAGAAAACAGAGTTGCCAAGAGCTACCAAGGTCACGGTCCAGAAAAAAGACTCGAAATCAAAAAAACATTTGAAAGAGCTCAGGCTGCTCAGGATTCAGACTTGCTATAGGAATCAACTTGCTGTCCGTAAAACAATGCTCTTGGAAACAGAGCAAGAACAAGTTCACGATTTTGAGGACAATGGTTTTCAGCACTCCAAACAATATATTGTAGGGTTATACAATCGAGCTATGATTCAAACAGAGTAGCCCCAACACATTTCGAGGCACTCTGCAAACAATGCAACACTGGGGGAAGCATGACGTAGCATGGCTGGCTCGCTATGCACTCCAAGCAACTGCGTCACCAAGACCATCCGCTGCCATTGGCGGAGGCACTTCAAATGAACAAACTTCCTTGGAATGCGACACAGACATGACAAACATGACAAACATGACAGACATTACCAAATCCTAAATGCATTTTGCATCAAGTGGAAAGATCGTTGTTCTGCAACTCTATTGCCAGGCTGACGAAAGCTACCCCTTGCAGTATAGGAGGACAAGATAGCGGTTGTAATTAAGCGTCTATCGAGGCATTGAATCATCATCCCCGGCATACTATCTAGACGCTGCAAAGAATGCATCAATTTCAAGTTTTCATAAACAAACATTATTCTTTTCCACATTTGTTCTGGCGTTTCGAAGAGCATCCCCTAGCAAAGCCAACACCGCCTGAAATCAGGGTGCGAGATTGTTGGTTCATTGCATTTGGATGATGGAACATATAATCACTATTATCCAGCAAACAATAGTGCTTCTTAATCTACGAATCCTGCAAGCTCGAAAGCGCTGTGCTTGGGTTGCTACTCGATACCGTGGATACATGTTTTCTATACATGTTTTCTTTTCTCTTTTTCTCTACCTTGAAGCCTGTGGCTTCCTCGGCATGAATATTGCAGGAACTGTCCTTAAATCCAAGTCCAAGTCACTGCCCGCCAGCACACTTGCAAGGAGAGATCAACTCCCCATCCTCGTGGCCTCCCAAACTCAAATTGTTTCAAGAAGGTAACAAAAACATCTTTGACATTAAAAATAAACCAACTTGCATTCCAAACACCCAGACTTGTATAAACTATGCTGTACCATGACCAGGACTTGTCTCTTCGAGCCGCTCAAGGAACAACAAACACTGAACGACTGCACGTAAATCGATGCTTCCTCAACCATCGATTTATTTCCAACTGGTGTCACCAAATCCACAATCTGCTTGCCACTTCATGCCCGACCCCTTTATATTGAACTGACGATCTCTGTTTACACGGCAGGCCTCCAAAGCAGTAGCGGCAAATGATCTCCTCTTCCTCACAATCTTCACTGAATTTATTTCAATATGTTACACGTTTCAAATATGCTGGACAGTCCACTCCTACACGCTGAAATCATGACAAGTGGAGCAGGCAGCTGTGGAGCCGCATGTTGTCATGCTGAACGCAGCCAAATTTCAAAGTAATGTTAGTTAGTCTCTTTGCAAAAATTGAAGGAACCAACCAGGACTACAGTATGTTCTCAAACGATTCAAGCATGGATATGACATATATATATATATACATATTATATATATACATATTATATATACATATTATATATATATACATATTATATATATATACATATTATATATATACATATATTATACATATTATATATACATATTATATATATACATATTATATATATATATACATATTATATATATACATATATTATATACATATTTTATATATACATATTATATATATACATATTATATATACATATTATATATATACATATTATATATATATACATATTATATATATATATACACATTATGTATATATATATACATATTATATGTATATATACATATTATATATATACATATTATATATATACATATATTATACATATTATATATACATATTATATATATACATATTATATATATATATATACATATTATATATATACATATTATATATGTATATACATATTATATATACATATTATATATATATATACATATTATATATATACATATTATATATATACATATTATATATATACATATTATATATATACATATTATATATATACATACATATTATATATATATACATATTATATATATACATATTATATATACATATTATATATATACATATTATATATATACATATTATATATATACATATTATATATATACATATTATATATATACATATTTTATATATATACATATTATATATATACATATTATGTATATATATATATACATATTATATATATACATATTATATATATACATATTATATATATACATATTATATATATACATATTATATATATACATATTATATGTATACATATTATATATATACACATATTATATATATACATATTATATATATACATATTATATATATACATATTATATATATACATATTATATATATACATATTATATATATA